GGGGGGGGGGGGGGGGGGGGGGGGGGGGGGGGGGGGGGGGGGGGGGGGGGGGGGGGGGGGGGGCACAGTGCGAAGAAGGGAACGGGAAAGCAAGGGAAAGGTGGAGGGGAAACGTGAGACGGCTTGGTGCAACCAGCTGCGGTCGATATTCATGGACCAAAGAGGGCTGAAAGCACGACATACACTGGAAAAGAAGACATAGAGCAAGTCCCCGAGAAAGGCCCGCAGGAAGAAAAATTTCACTTGGACAGCAGTGGTATGGAGTGAAGAAGATGTAGCACCCAAGCATCCAACTTTTGGGAACCGTCGTCTTGACCGCGCAGCCAAAAGCGATGGCGAGCAATAAAAAAAAGAAACCATGGCTATTCAGTACCTGGTGTACACGGAGCCTTGCGTGGCAGCCCCCGTGATGCCGAGCTGCTGTACGATTTCCCTCATGGCCACGCCGTCGTTCTCCTGCGCCGCTCCGTTTAAATACACCGCGCGAAAAGGCTGCCGCTGCTGTTGTTGCTGCTGCTGCTGTTTGTGCTGTTGCCGTCTTTCCTCCTGCTCCTCCTCCTCCTCCTCCTCCTCCTCCTCCTNTCCACAGACGAAACATCTCCCGCCCCGCCCGTTCCTTCCCCCTCCCCTACCGCCGAGAAATTCTTTTTCTGCCTCTTTCGCTTCCCTTGCTCCGCCGACGCCGCTGCCGTCGCACCCTTCGCTTTCTCGAGGGATGACGCTTCCTGCGCCAGGCTACGGAGTACGCTATCGAGGACCAGAGACTTGCCCGTGCCGGTGTTGCCGAGAAGGAGGGCGCTCTGGCTCTGTCGGTCGAAGATCGTTCGCCGGAGCACCTGGAAAAAGAGAACAGAGAGAGAAATAATGGAATGCATACGTTACTCTTGTGCTGGAGTACAGGCATAGCCCGTTCGTTAGAGAAGATCTGTGTGAGAAAACTAGGTTCAGGTTTAACACAAAAAACATGAAAAAGAAGGGTGAATACAGCTCAGCGGTGGACCCTGGGCTAGACCCAAAGGCATATAGATTGTGAATGCTGAACCATGGCGACGAAAAAAGAAACTGGACCTTGACAAGAAATCGACGTTTCTCATAAGCGGTCGGGTTACGATAGATATTAGACCTATACTTGTCTACACTTTAACTGTTTTGGCTGGAGAGTAAACGAGCTATGAAAATCGGTCCCGGGGGTACACAGGTATCGTGTGCAAACTACGATAGGGCAAATAGAACAGCCGGACCGTGCGTACTCAACAGATAGCAGCATTTGCAACAAACTTGTCGGGTGTGGACAACACACAGCAGAACGCTTGTCTGGCGAGGCGACCTCTCCAGCTGCCCCACAATAGTTGTCTCTGTGGGAACATGTACATCACGCGGCACGGCTTGCAATCACATCAACCACACCTGAACACGAAGGTAGGATCTGGAACTTCTAGAAAGCAGCTCATCTCAAGGTTTAGCTCTCGCTCCCGAGCACTCTGCTGTTATAACCCCTGCAGCTTCCAGGGTAGACGCTTGTCAAACCGTGAGCGAGCAAAATTGCCCTCTACTCTTCGTACGAAAGCAGTCTGTTTTGAATTTTGAAAACAATGTCGAAGACAGCAGTTGCCAACGAGCGACACACCTAAACACCCACGAACCCACTAACAAGGATGCACGCTGCTTTATCTCTCACCCTCCTCAACTCTTCGCACTGCGTGTGGCGCCCCAGCGGCCACAAGTGCTCCCGCGCAGACGCGCCTTGCTCCTCTCCGTCCGGGTGCGAGGCCGCTCGTTCCCGCTTTGAACCTCGGGGGCCGTAGGCCAACCGACGTCGCAGGAAGGCTTTGCAGTACCGCATGGAATTATCATCGCACATAACTATTGCACTGAGTGCTTCCCCTCTCCGCCTCGGGCTTCGCAGCTGCACCAGGTGTGTGTGTGTTCACCCGTTCACCCCCGTCGCGTGCCCGCTCCCAGGTCCCAGCTCAGCACTCCCCAGTCTGCTGGTTTGCTGGTGTTCGTTTGGGTTCGCGCGGCTCAATGGGTGACGCTTGAAAATACTTGTGAGCCCTTGGGGAGCGAGGAATGGGGACCGTTGCTGCTGTCACGCGCCCAGGTCCCACGCCGAAACAACCCTTCTCTGCTATGAACGCACAACCGCTTTGCAAAGGTGAGGTCGTTTGGATGTAGCACCTCTGAATTCGCACCTGTACGGCGGTAGTAAATGACTTTCGAGGAGGACGCAGCGGAGGGAAAGGCTGCCTTCGAGGGGGAGGAGCAAACTGGACGAGAAGCTGCTTCCGCATCGGATCACCAAGGTTTTGGCGACGCCCCCTCACCCGTTCAACATGTGGCAATATCGTCCAGGCTGGAGGACGAATGGCCCGAGATTGAGCTGGGGGGGGAGAAAGGTCTCGTTGTTTGCTCCATCGACGTGCAGCTGCTGACGGGTGGGTGGGCAGCAGAGTGTGTCGCAATCGATGTTTGTTTGGTGCCTACGTGTACACACATCAACGAACACAGCGTGGCATTCACATCTCACCAGTAGATAGATGCGGCTTGTGCACCCCCGGACTAACATATGGTGATGATCACATGATGTGGTGAGCGTTTTGTGTTGAGTTCGATGTTGACGCAAATACACACCGCAGCCCAAACACTGGGGACTGAAATCGTGGACCCTTTCGACGGGTGTACTTGGATGCACACTTGTTTGCCCCTCAGGGCGGTTGCCCCCGAAAATACCTGCTACAGGCCAAAAAATGGCTCAGCAGTATGAGCAAGAACGAAACATACCATCAATAATCCCCCCCCGAAGACTCTGGAACCATTCCCCTTCCCAGCACGTAGTGACTGCGGTGGCCTTTCGTGTAGATTTCTCGTGTGTCTTATTCGTGACATTAATGTAGTAGTAACTTTGCTTTTATTCCCTTCACTCGTCTCTACCTACAGACACCGTCCAGGTGATGCACTCCCAGATCGCCCTGCTGCGGCAGACCGTGCTAGACCTGCGGGAGGCAAAGGCGCAAGAGATTGGAGAGCTTCGCCGGCAAATCGACGCCCTCGAGAAGTCGGGTCCAGGCAACGCGAAAGCTCGATTCGACGACCTTGACTCGAGACTGCGGGCGGTAGAACAACAGCCTGGTGGGAGTGGAATGGTGAGACACCCCTTGACCAGTTTTCGATCAACCGGGGGAGGGGGGGAGACGTGTTTTTGTCTATTTCCAGGAATGAATTTTGGAGGTGTGGAATGAGTTTGGAGGCCTGCCAGTGGCGTAGTTTGACCACCCGGAGCAAGGAGAAACCACTTTACATCTCCGTTCAGGCTTGTTTCGTACGAGTGTAAATCCATTTTCTGAAAAACGTGGACGCCCGCTGGGAAAAAGACCATGAGAAAATCCGAGCGATCATCGCTTACATCCAGAATGGGACGCCAGACTGGACCGCCCCCCCCCCCTGTACCATGCGGTGTAGACGTGAAGACTGGTCTCAACTCAAAAGGAAATCAAGACACACCGTTGACTCATGTTTTCACCGTCCCTTCTTCGGGCTCTATGCCCTCACGCCTACCCACCATTTCCACGATACGCAAAAAAACAAAAATGACGAGAAAAGAGTGCTGGCGATAGTGAGCGGCTCGACCTCCTGGAGGGGGCTGTGTGGGGCGGGAGCACTACGGCGAGGAAGTCATTGGACATGGACATTGTTAAATCGTCCGAGGAAGATACCCCGACCGAAGTAAATACCCCGTCCGAACCAGTTGAACCAGCAGCAGCAGCAGCAGCAGCAGCAGCAGCAGCAGCAACGTCAACGGTGGTTGAAGATGTTGATTATGACGACGAAGGCGGAGATGGAGAGGGGGGGCAGGGCAGGGAGGAGAAACAAGCCGCCGCTGCCACCGCACGGAAATCACGTAAGATGAAAACCGTGGCGAAGACGGTGCTCATGCTCGGGGGAGGAATGGCCCTGTGCCCCAAAGTGGACACTCTTCAGAGTCAGGTGTGTGAGCGGTGGGTTCGGTCGATTCTTCTTCGTTGTCTCTGCTTCTTTTTCCGGCTGTGCAGACATGCCGGGTGGTCGCGTGCCTATTGCAACTTGTTGGACTTGCGTTGTGGCTGAAAAAGCTTACTTTATCGAAAACGTTAAAGGGTTGAACGGTCAACATCGTCAACGGTGACTGGTGAAGACAGAAGCATCGATATGTTTCTCGTTCATGACGTCTACTTACATCACCAAATATATGTTTTTTACCATCTCTCTCCTGACAGTAAGTCACCCGTTGTGGGGCTAAACCTAACAATCTTGCCAAGAGGGCCTGAGGTGCGAATAGGTTTTCGTGATGGGGTTTGAACCGCGTAGGCGGTACGACAGGCAAGGATGTTGATGCCAGGCCTCCCGGAGAGCCAAAGTTGGGTGGGATGGAACTGTATTTCGAGGTCACCCGCGCGCTGTGTACGTACGCTCGAGACGCAACAGCGGAGGGCTCGGTGTAAGACGCTTGGAGTCGGATGGGCACCGGTCCAGGATCTGTGCCCGTCCTTAAGTTGTTGACCAAATCGGAACCGAAAGTCGCAACCCTTGGGAATTTCAGCAGTGAGCCACCAGCTAGGGGCGAACTAAGCGCACCAAATTTATTTACCCTGCACGCCACTCCCCATTTCCTCTGCCAATCTCACCAGCCTTCGCGAAATAGGCCCGGACAGTGGCAACGCTCTTCGTATGGAACATTGTGGGCGAACGTATCTCCTCGTGTCCCCGCCCCCGTCCCCCCTGCGTCCTTACCAAAAGGTGGGTACCATCGGCGAGCGCGAGGATCAGATCGAAAGTCGAGTGGCGGCGCTCGAGAGAAAGCTCCTGACCGATGCCGATGGCGCCAAGGCGGCGGCGGCGGAGCGGAAGCGGAAGCTCCTCGATCGGCTGATGCGACAGACAATCGTCCTGCGAAACATGATCATTGCGGAAGGGATGGCGACAGGAACAGAGGGGGGAAGCGAGGGGGAATCGGGGGCGACTCAAGAGGAGGATTGTTGGGCGGGGGCGCGGGAGGATATCGTGCGGGGTGGCCGTGGTAGCGGTGGTGATGGGCAGGCCGCGGATGAGGAGGAGCTTATCCTCACGGCACGCGCCAGGTACATGACGCGATGGGTTAACGCAGGAGACACCGTTGGTGCTGTTGATTGTATCCAGACTCGGTCGTACACGGGCTGAGCTCTCGCTTACAGCTAGCGAGCTCGACAAGCTCGTTCAACCGCTTTAGCTTTGCGGATGTAGTGTCTTTTGGGGCATCTTTGGTCTGGTTAACAGCCGTTGTGTGACAGTATGGGCATACTTGGAAGCCGCTCATCCGAGGCAATTCCCGCGACAAGATCCGCTCGGTGCGATATCACGTCAACATTTTCCTGTTTCTCTCAGCAAGTTCGAAATAGAGATAGGAGAGCCAGCTCTGAACATTCATGTTCAAGGAAGATCCACCCCTCTTGGACGTAATGCGAAAGACACTACCAGACTCTAGACACGGTAATCGATTTGTCAAATCTCTGCGTGCAGCACCGCTCTTTCAGGAGAACACCTCCAAATTCTCCAAGCACAACGATCAACTGCATGTGGACCAACTATGAATACACTTCGTTCACTCAACTCTGGCCGATGAAACAACTCGTGGCGTGTGCCGCACCTGTGACGACCCTAGGCTGGCCTGGCTAGAGACTTTCGCCGAGGACACGCCGTCTTCGGGGGGGATCACCGGCTCCGGTCCCGCAGGCAGCGGCGATGGTGCCGAGACGGAGCGAGACGACCAACCAGCAACTAGCGATAATGGTGACATCGATGTAGTTGTCCCCAAAGAGGGCGGCACGCCAGCAAGTGGCATGAGTGATGGTGTTGGTCAGCAGCGGGCGGCGGGTGCTTTCCCGGCGGAGGCGTGGGCGGCGCCCGGAGATGAAGAAGGAGGAGGCCGTGGCGCCGGCGGCTGGGCTGGAAGGCGCCGAAGCAGCGGAGGCACCGGTGGTGGCGACCGGGACGGGGAGGTGGCCCAGCTGTGGCGCTGGATGGATGAAATTGAGAGCCGCATCTACCGGAGATGTCCCGACGGAGGAAGACCACCTTCACGGGTGTGGCAGCAGTGTATGCCGCGGGGGTAGATGGTCTCTGTTCACTCTCGTATCAGACGAACAGTTGGCATTATGACCTGGTCATTACGTGGAGTCTGTCGACGCTGCGTGTTTAGAGACTATGCCTCGACCACGCAATCGATTCATTTCACACACGCTTTTATCTTGCCGGGATTTACGAACTCTCTCTGCCTCATGCGTGTGATTTACCTATTGTCAATCAACGAACTGCAACCCACCCAGGGGTCTGGAGACGTCGTAACCTCTAAGGCTGCGGAGGTGACCGGCGCCGACCTCCAAAACCTCCAGGATTCTGTTGAGCTCTCGTCGCTCGCAATGGGAAACAAGCTTGAGGAAGGCCTGGCCACGCTTGGAGAGCGCATGGACCTCTTAGAAGGCAACGTCCGGTCGGTGAAAGCCAGGGCGCTGTCGAGGTCGGCGCTCGACGCGGTGTCCGCTGCCGCTGCGGCGGCTGCCCATCCAAGTGGCAGCGGGCACCCGCCGCCGCCGCTCGTGACTGCCCCACCCGACGACAGCCGGATCGAAGAGATTCTGGCCGGCGTGATTGGGGACGAGATCCCCACGCTGCGGCGCGACTTGGGAAACGTTACGGAGCGGGTGGCGCACTTGGAGGCGACGGTGGCAGACGACGGCGCTGGGGGGGCGGGCCTGAGCGTCGAGGAGGCGGCCGCCGCTGCCGCGGACGCGGCGTCCCGGCTGGCCAATGAGGAGACCCAGGCGAGGTTGGCCGCGGAGATGTCGGCACTAGAGGAGAGGGTGGACCGGCGCGCCAGGGAGGAGGCCAGGCGGGCGAGGGAGGAGCGGGAGGCCGCAGAGGCGCGGGGGGCGATGCGGCGGGTGTCGGCGACGGTCTCGGCGTACACGGCGGACCTGGCGACGCGGCTGGACGGGCTCAAGTCGGAGCACGAGGAACAGGGGGCGGTGGTGACGCGAACGGCGGAGGAACTTGCCGCCGCCGAGGCCGGCCTGAGGACTCTAGGGTCGGAGCTCGTTGGACTGGGCCAGGTTGCCAACAGCGTGAGTGTGTATCGGGTTGGCTTTGCTTGGTTGTTCGCCCAGGTTGGTTTGGGCCTCTCGCTTTTTGCAGGAGGAAGTATGTTGTTCCAAAAAGAGGCCCAGCAGGCAAATATCCGGTCTTTGACGTAGAATGTGGTCGCCAGTCGTTCACCTTGCTAGAGGAGTTGTGCACGTTCACGGCACTGCACGTGTCCCCGGGCCCTCGTCGTCTTCCCGCCGATCCCTCCATCTTGATACAATTTGTCGAGACCCACCACTAAAGGAAACTTGCTTGAACTACAACAATATTAGGTGTCCATGGTTGTGGACGGGAAAGCCGATCAGACGGACGTGGAGGCGTTAAAGCACGCCATGCAAAGGCTGGATGCCACCGTTACGGCCAAGGCCCGGGGAAGCTCGGCCACGGCGGCGAGAGACGCTGAGGCTATGGGAGCGCTGCAGGTCGCCTTCAGGGACATGTCTGCCAGCATGGAGGGAAGCATTCGAAAGCTTCAACAGGTCTGTTCTGGTGGCGTGTCGTGTTGTTCATGTGCACGCAGTGGTGTAGCGAGCACTCGACAGAGCGAGGTGAACGCTTGGATAAATGTCTTTTGCTCTTCGGGTCGCAGCTCGTCGAGGATTCTTATCAAAAATTAACGGGGGGCCGACCACCCGCTACGCTTTTTGAAATTAACGTGTTGCTTCGGATTTTCATAGGCACAGGCGGCTGCCGGGAGCATCAAGGTCAAGCCCTTGCTAGACAGAGTGGTGAAGGAGCTCACCGAGGCAGGCATGCTGCCGGACCCAGACGCCGGGCAGGGCGCTGTAGGGCGCTCGATGTGTCTATCGTGCAACCGCCCGATGACCGTCGCCGGAGACCAATCGAGCAGCAGGTGGGAAGATTGACGGAGTTGCGGCGGTGAAGAGGGTTCGGGACGGTATGCAGGGAGAGACGGACGTGCAACAGCTCGGTCTGTTTGGTACGGTACCATGCATGCGTGTCCTTCACCCACTTGTTTAACGAGGTCTAGCACACGACCGTTTCCGACTCTAGCAATCATGCAACCATTTTCGGTTTTGTGCTATGTTTTATGAACCAAAAACTATGACGCCAGCACTACTGAATGGGGGGAATCCTTGAGGGACGACCCGAATCGTGCGTTGCTCCTGGTATTCTCACGAGCTCTAAGATTTGTGTTCGTTGTTTTTCAGGTTCGCCTCACAGTTCCGAGGAGGTACACTCGGCAGCCGTATGGAGAAGATGTCATCGAACAACCCCATGCACATCAACAAGCCGTCGGTGATCTGGCGGGGGGGGTTCAAGATGCCGCCCCACAGAGTCCCAGCAAGCGCGCACGAACGACTACGGCAGCACCAGCACCAGCACCAGCACCAGTACCGACAGCAACAGCAACAACAACGGCACCGGGCTGAAACAGCCGGGGCGGTGGGAGATGGCGGCCGGTGCGCTGGTGAAAGTGGGGGAGGCGGGAGAATCACGATAGGCGCGCCCTCCTCTCAGATTCTGCCGCCGTCTGACGCAGTGCTAGGGCCGGGGGGAATTGATGCGTCAAGAGATGGCAGGTTGCCAGGGATTCCTAACATGCTCGATAGTGCGAGCGCCGGGGGCCGTGAAACCAGGGGTGGTGCCGGGGTTGTAGGCGGTGTGGTAGGTGTAGGGGGTAGGAATAAAAGGGTGTCGGTGGGCTCCTTGGCGGCGTCGTCCGATGCGCCTCACAGGGGGAGGTTTGTGCGACAGCGGTGATACCACGGCATATTGTCGACCGGTTTCTCCGCCGCATGTGGTAATGGTATGTGGTACTAGCTGCTGCTGCTGTTGTTGCTAAGTTCCAGTTGTTGTATTGTCGATGAGGAGACCCTGCGTTGCACGTGCGAAGGCATATGAGCCGGTTGTTGTCAATGACACAATCGTTTTTTCAACTTTCTCAGTGTTCACAGCTGCTGTCGTCTAGACTAGACAAAGCAAAACGCACGCCCATCCGATTCGAGCACGCCCTCGAGCATCGGGTGATTCATGCCCGCCCGTTCGCTCCTGTGTACATTTCGAGGGTTTTCGCGGGGTACTTCCTATCGCTGCATTGCTTTGTCCCAAGTGAACGCCGACTATCCAATGGGGACCTTCGCGGGTTCAGGCTTGCGAGGCTCTGCTTTTCTTTGCTATTGATGTGTGTACTGAGTCCGTGTTCTATGTTCTGGAGTCCTGAACCTTTGGTTCAAACCTTTGGTTCAGCTCTGAATCACATGCATCCGCCAAACGCGCCCTCGCAGAGCGCGGATGGATGGTGCTGGTTGAGAGGAAGCTTTACGAGATAGTTATTCTCCCATTCTTTCCATATTATGTTCATGTTTAGTCCGGGAAGAGTGCGAGAGGGACTAGGCGACGAGATCGAAGAATTCGGACCGCCGGGTCGAAACAGACCAACAGACCCGACCGTCGGACAGTCAGACCGACGAACCAGTTCTCCTTTTGCTTCCCGGCTTTTAGTCTTTTCGTTTTGTGATTTCACCGCGCCCGCGCCTGGGTTAGCGCCTGGCACATCCTGGGTTAGCGCCCTTGATATTTGCGTCACTTTCACACTCACTCGAGAGGATGGGAGATCTGATGAGGCTTAGCGTTATGTGTGTACCGTCAAATGAGAGCTGTGAGACCCACATCCATCTCTCTTCAAGAACCACCCGTGAACGTTTTGGATTGTTTTCCATTCACCTACTCAGCAGCGAAGTGAGGCGTTGCAGCGATGTGGGGAGCGCATTGTGGTGGTGGTCGTGGTCGTGGTGGTGGTTGTACCAAGAGCTAAACATGTGCGTGTGTGTCACTTGTTCCGACCGCTGCGGTAGCTGCAAAGAGATGGTCCTCGTTATCCACAGCAGCAAGTCTTGACGTCCTGACGGAAGGCTTTGTATACTTCTCGCTGCCTGCCGCTCTGTGTGTGTCGGTCCCGTCTAGGCTACAAGAAGTACCAGACTATGTTCGGGCGCCAGTCTATACAACATTTCGGCGGCATAGACGACAATGTCGACTATTACAGTTTGAAGGACTAGCCGGGGTGTCACAAAACAAGAAGATGGTCACACAGAAAAGTGAGCGTTTGGGTTTGTTTTTTTCAATGCCCCGCCCTCCGCCCCCTGCGCCCCCCCCCGGTGTTGCCGTCGGGGTTGGGTTTTCGTCGCTTGGCAACGTCGTTCTAAAACAAGCCACCCCATCGGTGTTTGCCATCGGGGTTGGGTTTTCGTTGCTCGGCAACGACGTTGTAATACAAGCTAATTCACTTCGTGAACTCGGCAACCAGGATACCGTGGATTATTTTCTTCGTTTTTTTTTTCGGCGGTAACCATAATGGTGGTCGAATAGATCATGTTGTGCGGGGTCGAGAACCCTCACTCCGCGCAAGGGGGATGATCGCACCACGTTGTGTTGAAATGGTCAAGCACCCTCGAGGCAGTCACACAGTGCTTACAACTGTCTCTGGAAGTGAAAGCACCAGAAAATAAATTAATTCATACGCAGCTGTCATCCGTACGCAAGGAAGTAAGCACAAGATGCCGAAAACCCTTAGCAGGATGCAGCGCACCCTTCATGCGACTCGCCGAATATCTCACGGCGCTTCGCGCTTGGTGATGTGAGAGCCTGGTCCGGTGAGAACCCGGCGTGCTCCGTCCCGGCTTTGTAGGGATGCGAGGTCAATGGTCTAACGACTACGGCATGCACGACTATGAGTACACCCCGCCCAACCCCTGCGCCCCCCGGTTTTTGCCATCGGGATTGGGCATTCGTCGCTTGGCGACCACGTTGTAATACAAGCTAATTCACTTCGTGAACTCGGCAA